AAGGTCACCCAAGGGGTTTCATTCAACTTCATGACAGGGGAAGAAAATCCTTCAATATGTTCAAGCTTTCGTGTACAAAAGTAGATATTTTTGATGTTTATTTTCAGAGAGAAAGAAAGGTGGCATCTGAAACTTGTGACTGAAGTGATTTTCTGATTTTAGCTTCAGTGGATAATTTCAAATAGCCCTCATGATTGCTTCTTGCTTACCACTTTCAGTGAGTTGACTAATCTTTACAAGATTTCTGTGATGTGATATCAATTTGCATTCTGTTATAACTGATTTTATACTAGAATAAATTATTTATCCTGTTTCCAGGCACTTAGAGTACTATAATCCTCTCAGGAAGGAATGGATAGCCTGTGGAAGGGCCAGCTTAATTTGGCTGTAAAGAAAATCAGTTGCTTCTGCAAGAATGCGAGTAACATTATGTCCATAACTAGAGACACTGGGACTGGCCATAACATTTCAAATTCCAGGTGTTCTCTGACCATGCTGTTGGATTAAGACATAAAAATTAAAATATGCTTTGGAAATGCTTGCAGAGGAGCAGGTTAGAACTTCAGGGAATAAACAGAAACAGTAAAGATTGTATCATCCAGCAAAGGAAATGCCGTATTTCTCTCTCATATTTAAAAACTTTTAGAAATTCAGAGCTGCTTTTATTGAATGAGGTAGTTTGCTTTTATGGCCTCTCATATTTGTTCACTAGACATAGGCCATGTGCTTGAATACAAGATCATTTGCTTAAAAATTCAAACTCTTCTTTGGTCAGCTGTCAAAGAGACATTTTTGAGTGTTAAGAGCTGATGCACACCCAGGCACGTGCCTCTTCATTAAGGCACCAAAAACAGAGCGGAGGTTGTTGTTAGTGTGTTCACTAGCAGGGAAATCTCTGTCAGACTTTTCCCTATTTATTTATATTTATTTATTTTTACATATCAGGAATCTGTCTACTCTGAGGTGTGCTCTGCTTGGTAGAGTTGCAAGAGACTTTCCCTCTACTTTTTATTTTATTTTTTTTAAGCACACCTACGGTAGTAGATGTTTTATTGAAACTCTTAACGCTATTCAAATTATTGTTCATTTTTGACCATTTCCGCTGTTAAATACTAGCTTTTACCTTTTTCCTTCAATTTCTATATTATTTTCTGCTATTTTATTTCTCTCTGGTGGGCCAGCATTTTTGATGCTTGTTGTGAATGCCATAAGCTTCCCTTTATTTAATATGCAGGGACCCCAGCTTTGTTTTCAGAAGAATTGTGTGGCTGCAGAGCACTGTACGAATGATCCATGCATGGTGCCCAGTTACAAACTATGAGCATGACCTGAGCACTGCTGTAGTGCAGACCCATTAGTGCAAATTTTTCCCAGTTGTGTCCTTATGCCTTTGAGGTTTTCATAGTTCTGCACTACAGGAAAAAAAAAAAAAAGGCTTAATAAAATTTTGAATTACATTGCTTCATACCAGTAAAACAAAATGCTTTATCATTTTAAAATACTATGGGAACCAAGTAATGTGTGTTTACTGTTATGTGCCAAATATTTTCTAAATTGCACTGGAAATCTGCATCAGAATGTATCTTCTTTTAAAGCAAAAAGTAAATATTTATATTTTAAGAAATATATATTGTTTACAATGTTAATAAATATTTGATAAGTAACTTAAGCATCACAAGACGTTCATTTACAATAAGATAAATATAAGCAGAAATAATGTTCATTTACTGCAGTTTGTACAATGATGCAAAAATGCAAGACATTCACGATTATTTTCAGTAGTATATTTAAATTGCTGCTGTCTTGTTTCAGCAAGATATCCATTGTAATAAAGATACTTGTTTAACTGAGACATAATGCCAAAAGAAGTGGCTAGACGGGAACAGCCAGCCTCAGAGTTTGCTCATTGCCTTGCAGCCCGGTTGTCCTCCCCATCCTCATCCTGTGGTTCCCTTTGCACACCACAAATTTATCCACAGTTGTGTATTTCCACACAAGGTTTCTGTCATACCTTTTGCATGAATTAATTTCTATGGTCTTTAACATATGTTTCTGGCAGCTGTCCTAGCATACACTTTTGTTGTGGCTGGAAGCCTGTCTTGCTCTGGAAAATGAAGTTTGCCTTGGTTAGTCAGCTGGGACGAACCTGTAAAACAATTTTGTGATCCAGTTCCTAACCACATCTTAAGTGTCTGTCTTTCCATGATTGTACCACTATACTGGAACAAACTAGGGATTTGCAGACTGCTAGTGGAATGGTGCTTTTTAGGATGTCTTTCAAAAATAATCAGCCCCTTCCTGAGGAAGGATGGTCCAGCTACTTGTTCTTTTGAGTGCTACTGATCAGTTGGTATTGGGTTGCATTGAGAAGGCTTTTTTTTTTTTTTGTGTGTGTAAGTGTAAGAGAATAGTACCATGTGAAAGCTGAATTTTCTGTTTCTCCCAAATATTTATGGTCTTGTCAAGGGTAAGTATAACTCGTTACTGCATAATGGAGGCTTTCAAAATGACTTAGCCAGTCGGACTGATACAGATGCTGTCAAGGAATGCAGAAAATACTATTCACCTCCTTAAAAGCAGATTTAAATGCACTAAAACATAAAAAGTGCATATTCCCATTTGAGGTGCGTGTAATAAATGACATGACTGAGATTTCTGCAGGATACTTGCTCTGCAGTTCATCGCTTGCTGTGCAAGTCTGCACATAAGGTTAGTGTAAACTCACCTGGCAGTCAGGTCACCGTAGAACCTGGCAATGCTCCCAGCCTAAATAATTATTTTGTTATTTATTAGGCTAATATATTTTTGACGTGTTACATTGTATACAATCAGAGCTCCCCTAGTTAAGGTTATATCAAAGATTGACCTCTGCTGACAAGATTAAATTGAAGTCATTTTCTCCTAGAGTTTAGCAGGTAGAGTGTCTGTGTTGTCAGTAAATAGCACTTTATCCTCTTTCCCCTGGGCACTTATCTTCAATGTAATGTCAGAATGCCAGATGGATTTACTTTCCTATTTTTTATCCAATTTTTATTTTTACTTTTCCATCTATCATCTTTTCACTGTCATATTGAATAATTTCCTTGCAAGCAAAATGTCCCCCTCCCTAGACGGTGCATAACAGTTGTGCATAAATCCTCTTTTTTTTCAGAAGTAGTCTCTTTGAAGTGTATATATTACCTTTTGTTTAAAGCTTAGAACGTGTAAGACTGTCTTAAATGTTCTTTTTGTAGGCTTCTCATATGGAAAAGGAAAAAAAATGATGATCAAGGAGATACAAACTATATTAACTATAATGCCCTAAAGATGACTTTTATACTACCATTTGCTTTTAAAACAGTAGACAAATAATAATATTATATGTACATTTATACATTGAAAAGGGAAAATAGAGACTCAGACCAAAAAGCCACAAACAATAAAACGAACCAAAGAAACAAGCAATCCTAAATGCCCTTAATTGTGAAACTAGTGGTTTCATTTATTTAGAATTTAAGATATTTTAATAGTTGGCCCTGCTGCTTTTGGAACATGATGAAGGAGGATGTCTACTAATTAATTATTTGAAAAAACAAATAACCAAGTGATTAAAAGAAAATAATGTTCTTTTAGGGGTGATTGCTATGCTCTACACAGCAAAATACATTCTGACTTTCTTGTTTGGTATTTGGCCATTTTCTACCATTTTCCAAGTATTGTGAAAGCTGTTGGCCACGTCATTTTTGTGTCTTGGAAATCACTAAGCTCCATGGTGAATTACAGTAGAAATTATCCTATGATACAAATTAAAATTCAGTTCAATGGAAAAAAAATTCCTATAGATTTTAGTGCACAATCTTTTCACAAATGAATTCACCTTTTTCTTACAGTATAATATTTAAATACAACTTTGGTGTTAAAATTCTGAGCGAGGTGCTGAGCTAATGCTTTTGATGGTGGTGTTTAAACATGGTAGGAAAACAGCCTGGATTCCTCAGTGTGGAGGAGGGAGGGAATGGAGGGGCTATGGGCAGCTTCAGCACTTGTGGCACTGCTGCTGGCCTCAGCACACAGGCTTGCAATAAAAGCGTGTAGACAGTCAGAACTATTTCTGCGTGAGTAGAACTGGTTTCATGTGAAGTTGAAAAATGTTGGTTTTGAAAAGCCTTTTAAGTACTTGCTGGTGTGTTAGCCTTGTAAATGACATCATAGCGAGCCCTGTAAAAATCGTACAGATACATGTTTAAATCATGTTTGTAATCAAATGCATAGTTAGGGCAGAGACTGGGATTTAAATTAATGAGACTTCAATGAAATGATATTTTGGTCTGATGCTGTGAAGAAACACATCACGAAAGCTATTGCCAAGGACTAACAATAACTGAGAGGTTAAAGGCAGTCTTTGCTGTTGCTTGTTTACCTTCAGAGCTTGATAGAATATCTGGGTGAATTAGGTCATAAAAAAAAAAATCAATAATTTTATCTAAATTGCTTTTGCTTATCTGGTTATGGTTCTGTCCAAAATAGGGCAAATGCTCTTCAGAAATCTTTAAACAGGCAGGTGATAATTTCTTGTTCAGACTAAATCACTGCTAAATTTCAGTGCATATTCAAACATTTTTTGATTACTTTTTGGGTTTGTAAGGTTCCTCATGAAATAAGTACATAGTGTGTGTGTGTGTGTATACATATATTTCTCTGCAAGAAATACTGGTCAGTACAGGGGTAAAAGCAGGAACAGCTTTGGAGAAAAAAAGCTTGCCAGTTTTGTTATCACTGGTTTAGTTAATATTCCTGTGAAGTAAGAACTCTTTAGCCTGTCAAGGCCTAAGTTCTGCTTTGATAGCAGTTCTACAACTGTTGTAAACATTATGTTGAAAAGAGAAATGGCTATTAAATAATTGTGAAGTAATTGGCTTAAATCTAGAGAATTTGGTAAATGCATATGTTATAACACACAAACAACCTTGTTTTTATGCTGAAAGTGAATTCTGAATACTGCATGTGGATTTCTGTTGCAGTATGAATACTTCAATGCTGTGCTCATAAATGAGCGAGATGAAGAAGGAAACTATCTGGAACTGGGGAAAGAATTTATTCTAGTGCCCAACGACCACTTCAATAACTTGCCTGTGAACATCAGTCTGAGTGATGTCCAAGTACCCACCAATATGTACAATAAAGGTAAGATAAGAGCTGTTTGATTTCATTGTTCCACTGGCCAAACATAAATTAGAAGCATTTTTCCTTATAAAATGAAGCTATTGATTTTATATCATCTGTTTCGCAGATTGCAATGATACTCAGTTTTCAGGCAAGGAATGCTAAAACACAAACAGTGTTGTAATTTTTTTTGCTTTATGGCAAAAATCTCTCGTGCTTTAATAGAGTCAATAATTTGTGTATTAAACTTAGAACATGAATTTTGCCATAACAAATAGGTCTGATGTTGTTGCTTACCTGATCTGGAAGTACCTCTGAAAGAACCAGGATAGGGAATGTCTTGTTGGATTTATGCTCTTAAACTTCTGGGAATGCTCCTAGCTCCATTTGACTGCCTGCACAGCCACTGAGCTGTTGTAAGCTTTCTGTTAGTACTTAGGAGCAGCAAAGTATATTCAGGTATATACTTCCCTGGTTATGGGTTATAGGCTTTGCATAATGCTAACGCATAACTACGTGAGATTTGTTTAGGAAACTGAAGTTTAAAAGTAAGGAAAGCAAACCAAATTCAGCAGCACTTGCTTGTTTTCCCTTTGGTGCTTCCATTAGATCAGGCAGCCCAATCTGGATCTTACTGTGCTCATGCAGCACTATCTATTCCTTTTTCTGAAGCCAGCGTTAAAGAGGAAAGCATGAAAGTTTCCAATGAGAGGCTGCCCAGCATTTGTCACAGGTCTGCAGAGAGCTGCCAAGTTATCTGGTTCCTCTTCCTTGTTTTAACTATACTAAGAGACAGCTAAAAATACATTAAGTGTTTTCCTCATAATACTTTCCAGGCTAGCAGTTGTGGTAATTTGTGCAAGGATATTGTGTAATCACAAACGGGAAGAGAAGTAGTTCAAATAAGTTGGGCTGCTAGGAGGCTCCTCTTCTAAGTCACGATTGAGCATCTTGAGAAGCCAGGAGCTATACAGTCATGCCTTAAATCAGGGAATACAAAGTAACAAAACTTCATAGGGAGTATTTGTGAGGATGTGAAATAGTATGGGTTATTTTGAAGAAATCTAGAAAATGCATAAAGCTTCCAAAACTACCAAATCATTTTTTGTTGTGGAAATGCTAATATTTATTCAATGAACCTCTCAAGCAGTGAACTCACTCTAGGAGAAGCATATATGTCTTGTGATTCTTGTTAAAATTGAATTGAAAGAGAAGTGATGGTTGCAAAGGGGTGCAGGTTGGTCAGACAGTCCTATTGCCCTGGAGGAGCAGACAAACCCGAAGAGTTGAAGACAGTGAGAGTGGTAAAATGGCAGGACCTTTGGGTACATGATACATAGCTCTGCATAGAATCCATTTTTATTTGCTAATTAATTACAGATAAAGGCCAAAGTCAAAGGGGTTGTATCTTGTTCTGGCTTCTGATGCAGGGACTGCCTGGAGAGACAGGCAGATAGAGCACCATGATGATTCCTGTTTCCACTTTGTCTAATTCAAACCAGCTCAAATCATCACTTTGTGCAGCTGCAGGAACACATTTTTTATCATTCAAATGTATTCCAACTGCTGAAATCTCATTTGCTGCTGACATTTTCCTTACACACGGGCCTGATAGTTTCAGCTTGGAGATGGGCAATATCTGGAAACCTCACTCCAAACAGGAGGAGCAGCTCTGCACACTTAGCTTTCTCAGTGCCCGCTTCTCAGGTCTTGTAATGCAGTGGTGTGATAACAAGTTAATTAAATCCCAGCCTGAGGGCAAAGGCAGTCAATTTTCATAGGCTTACAAGCAGGTGTCTGTGCAGCTCCATTCCTCTGGAAGTTTGTGTTTGCTGCCTCTATATGTTGCTTGATATGGGCTTTTTTAGTTCTGGAGAGATGCTGATCACAGCAGGTGATCACAGGCAGCAGGTTCAGAGCACAGTTGTAGGACCTACTCATTGAAGACTCCAAGAGTTTGGGCCTTTTGGCTTATCCAAGAGCTGATTTAGTTGATCTCTAGTTAATTATAAATATCCGACTCTATAATATGGCTATTATGGATTTAAAAAGACGCAGTGGCTGAAGTTTAGCTTAGTTACTGAGCAAATTGTGCAAAATTGGGCTTGTTAAAGTTTTTTTTTAGATTATTTATTTTGAGACAATTATTGAAACAGCTTACAATAGGCTGTGTGACTTTTTTTCTCTAGTAGCCCTTAATCAAGCTCAGAATTTATTATTATTATTTGTTTGTTTGTTTTAAATAATATGTCGTCTAGAATTATTTTGAGGAAATATTTTGGCCTGGTCAGATTGCATGATCATAATGATCTCACAGCAGAATCCATGACAAATGAAATGTAGATTGTCAGACTGAATGTCACAGGCCTTAACAGGGATCTGAAAGAATGAGATTGGCTGAGAATCATAGGACTTAAATATGTTTGCTCTTCTTGTGTCTTCTGGCTCTTTTAGCCTCTGCATAAAAAAAAAATCAGAATAGCAGCAAGCTAAATTTTCGTATTCTAAGGAAACTATTAAGTCTAGAACCTGATTTTTTTAAAATCAGATCTAGTATCTGAAAAAGTTGGAGGGTTTTGTTTTTTAGTCTTCTTTAAGGAGGAAATTTCATTATATTTCTGAAGTCAAGAAAGCTGGACTACCATATGTGTCACGTCAATGATATTAAAATTTAGTATGGAGTATTTTAAGGAGCAAAACAAGATCCAAAAGAAAGGCAACCAAGCAAATTTGTAAGCCTGTAGATAACTCTACTGCTATCTCAGAATAAAGATTACCTATACATACATGTCCAGGGAAAAAGTGAAATGGTAAATTTAATAAAGAATTAGAGTCTCCTTTTAATACTGATATCATTATAACATGTAAAGAACTGGTCTAACTACTGATGTGCTCTTCTGTGTTCCCACATTTTGTTTGTGCCTCTTTCTCTTCTCCACACTCAGTTTCTCCATACTTTATAGGGCACATCGTTAATGCTACAAATACAAAGTTATGATTTTTGGAATATAAAGCCTATAGAGACGTGTTTCAGAAAATGCTATTTCAGTGTTTCTGTAATGATCATATATTGAAGGAATTCAGAGAAAGAAGTGGGATGATTGTGCTTTACAGAAGAGCATGCTTATTTTTATGTCAATATAGAGTCCTCTCCCAGGTCTATGCTGTTCCACAGAAAGGTTAGTGCCATTTTTTTTCAGAAAATATCATGTTGACATCTGTTGCAGTTACTTAAACTGCAGAATATTCTGATGAAATAGACCTTAATTTTTCTTGAAAATAAGTGTTTATGATAACATTTTCCTTTTGAAACATTTAAGCAAACTAAATCTTTTCTAAATCCATCAGTTCATTCTATGACTTCTCTTTAAGCAAAGTGTATTAGTTTCCTAGGATTTACAAGGCAGTATCCCTTTAAACAATGAATAAATAGAGATTAAGTAAAAAATTGTGTTATGACTCTCTTAGCAAACAGTGATTCTTTCTTCTCTCTACAAATTTGGCAGTTTACAGTTATCACCCTGTGCACAGTTTTATGGCAGAAGTGGGGAAAAAAGGAATTCTTAAGTGAATTAAACAGATGTGTCATATGTGTGTATTCATAGGTGGAGAAGAGAGGGAGAAAGAAATTTACTGCTTTCATTTTAACATAAAAGTTGACATTTTTGGAAAGTACTGAACCAATCTGAATCCAGTTTGGATGGATAATTCAAGACCAAGACAGAAATTCAGGTGTGAGAAAAATTGTGTCTATGTCTGTCTATTTTAGCTACTATTTTTAAAGCCTTTATTTACATGCATTATATATTGACACTAAAGAAAGCTTTCATGTCTTCATTTTTTAACTCTTTCCTGTTATCTTAGTATAGAAGTGGTTTGGGGTAGGATCGATTAATGATTTGCAGTTTACATGTATGCAGCTCCTCGGGATGCTGCCTGCGGAGGAGACTTCCTGAGATACTAGCAGTATATTTAGAAGAATGTGGGGGTGTGACTTCATTATAAAGCAGGCAGTTGGAATGTGGAGTAACGTTTTCTGGCAACCATCCATGGGGAAGTTGGTTCTGGTAGTAGGTTTGCCGCTATTACCTAGAGTTGTGGTCAGGAATGGCACGGTTGCCTCTCGAGTTTATCTGTTCAACGTTTTTTCCAGTTCTTGGAAGATGATTATGAACATCTGACTGAAGAATATGATATTGGAATTATTCCTGTACCCCTTGAATATTCCTGGGGCGTGAAGTGGTAGGATGTTTTCAGAGTGACTTGTGAGGTGCAAGAATTTGTCATGATTTTTAAGGGCCATTGATACACTGTATATTTTCTTAATAAAACAAAAATAGCAAGTCTTTTGCATAATCACTTCTTGTCTTTTTTTTTCCTCAACATTTTAGTAGTCCAAAGTTTTGTGCCCATAGCCACAAGTAAGGAATCAGGAGTAGACAACAAAATCTTTGGAAAGAGACCGCACAGTATACTTTAGAATGTACTATATAACTTGATTGCCTTGAGTAGTTGCTTTGATTTTTATGTGGGTAAACAAGATCCTACTCAGACCCTTAGATACAAAAAAACACACTAAAAGGCGAAGTGATGCAGGTTTTTTCACAGTAAAGCAGAAAAACAAAGCTAAATTGATTCTAATCACGGTTGGATACAGAACACAATTTGTCTTTATTGAATCTCTATTTAGAACAAATGTGCTCAGTGCAATCATTGCCTAACTGTAAGAAATTTTGATCTAAAGACAGATTTCTGTGCCTGAGAGGTTTTTCCAACCATAAAAGTATTTAGTTCTACAAACGTTATTTTTCATAAAACATGCACTGTATCACTACTTCTAGATTCAGTTTGGATTAAAATACTTTACTTACAATGTCACTAGGTGTTCTTAATTAAAAATAAAAGTACAGTTTGGAGCGAAGTCGGTTTTGATTATGTCTTTGCCTATCAGCTGCCTCTGTTTCCTGATGTCTTCCTAATGAGACACAAAGATGCAGGGATAAAGGGCAGTGGAAAGGGAG